TGCGTGTAGAGGATAAACGTCTAGAAAACTGACGGGATCATTCGTTTTGCGTAATGTTCTGCCAAAATATAATATCACAGCCAACGACTGTCAATGAGTGCGAAAAAGAATGTCTATGTTTGCCATATAATTAAGCCGGGACCCCCATTAGCAACATGCCACGTCACACCACGCCACCGCACGTCATGAAGATTTGTGCGTACATTTTTCCATTTAATTACATGTGTTGATTTTTGATTTTTAAATGACAACTTTTGAATTTTATATGACACCCTCGGTATTTCTTACTTTATTCGATAGAATCTAACACCACACTAACACCACCAAACCAAACCAAACCAAAACACTTTGAATAGACTGACAGGGTGTCTATACAGGGTGTCTCAGATTTTAATCGGGAAAATTTAATAGACATGCAAAAATAAAACAAAAAGTTCATATCAACTTGTAAGATTTAAAGCTTCCTTTTCGAGATAGAGGGTGTTAAAGTTACTTAAAAAAGAAACAAAAATTAAGATATTTGAAAAACTATTTAATCGATTTTGATATAACTTGACTCGTTTATAATACTTACTATGGGACTTAATATGATGTAATTAGATTTAAGTTTAATGGCCAGGGACGGCGGTGGGGCATCACTGTTAAATTATTTTAAAGGAAAAAATAGGCACGCCACTGCTTTTTTAGAAGTTTAATATTCTTTTTGGATTTAGTAATTAAAAATATTATTTTTTTGTCTCCTGACTTTTTTGTCTATCTTGCTTACTTCTTGCGAAAGAAATTAAATTCATTTATTCGCTCCACCCTGGACCATAAATTAAATAATCGGGCCGAGTATCTTTCCCGTGTATTTATGGATTTTTTTATAATGTAAACAATATGAAATATCGTTGACGGCAACAATACCAGAAACCAATGCATTGATCTTAGTGGTTATCAATTCGAACAATTATTGTAATTTTTGTAACTAACCATTATTATTATTTAATTTATTGTCCAGGGTGGAGTGAATAGAGAAATTTAATTGTTTTCGCAAGAAGTAAGCAAGATAGACAAAAAAGTCAGGAGACAAAAACATAATATTTTTAATTACTAAATCCAAAAATAATATTAAACTTCTAAAAAAGCAGTGGCGTGCCTATTTTTTCCTTTAAAATAATTTAACAGTGATGCCCCTGGCCATTAAACTTAAATCTAATTACATCACACACACACAAATTAAGTCCCATAGTAAGTATTATAAACGGGCCAAGTTATATCAGAATCCATTAAATAGTGTTTCAAATATCTTAATACTTTTTTCTCTTTTAAGCAACTTTAACACCCTGTATCTCGAAAAGGAAGCTTTAAATCTTACAAGTTGATATGAACTTTTTGTTTTATTTTTGCAAGTTCTATCGTATATTAAATTTTCCCGATTAAAATCTGAGACTGAGTATGTCAACTTTTGACATTTTCGCCTATGGTTTATTTGACATTGAAACATGCGGTTCATAACGACAATTGGACTCGAAATAGCAAGTGTGTGGTACCAAATTACCTAACCTAACCCTTGTTCCATTTGAAAAAAAAAACAGATATGATTAAACATACGATTTGGGCATCTTTTAACCGGTCAGGACAAGACATGAAAAACATTAGACGGTCAAAACCATTTTTCCAAGGCTCCTTGATAAAAATTAGCGTTTTTATTTTTAACAGAGCGATGGCATTCTAAATTGAAATTTAAAATGCAATTTGTTTTAAAACAAAAATATCAAAAGTTGACTTATGATACGTCATTCTATTCAGAGTGACATTCTCTATCGAATAAAGTAAAAATATACCGAGGGTGCCATTTAAAAATCATAAGTTGTAGTAATTTCCGGCGAAACAGGAAGTAACCAAAAACAATTGAATACGTCAATCAATCGTAATTTATGTCATATACTAATATACCAAATATCGTTTTTTTATCTGAAAAAAATAAAAAAGTTGTAGGGGTGAGCCACTTTTGAGACGCACCCGGTATAAAACACTTAAATCTGGAATAGTTTCAAATAATTATACTCTATTAAATACTAACAATCAAAAAAACAATATTATACTCACAGTGTTGTCAAATATAATAGCAATAACATTTTATCTTACGTTACATACGTTTCGAACTTTTGAATTCTAAATGAGCGTTTATTTCGTGTAGTTTTTCATTATTTCTAACGCTAACTGACTTAATACTGCTCTAGAAAATAACGAAAACGAAATCAATAACTTCCAATATGGCAACGTATATTCCAGTTTCTACTTTAAGGCATGCGTGGAAGTATTTTAGTTTTAAAACTTTTTTTAAAATAACTAAACTTAAAGTAAAAGTATATTATTAAAAAACCGGAAAATAATTTTAATCTATCTACAAGCCAGACCTAGCTAGTAATACCACACATTCAGTTCTGCTTTATCCAGTCGTAAAAGTTAAAAAATGCTTCGATTCGGAGATACAGGGTGTAGAAGTTTAATTTTTATTTCGGGTATTTCTAAATAATTTTTGAACTAACGTCGACATTTTTATGGAAGTTCTTGTCTGGGTGTTTTTTGGGGCAGATAGGTCATTCTATTCATAGTGTCATTTTCTATCGAATAAACTATAGAAATATAGCGAGGGTGCCATTTAAAAATCAAAAGTTGTAATCATTTCCGGTGAAACAGGAAGTGACTAAACACAATTGAATACGTCAATCAATCCTAATTTATTTCATATACTAAAATACCAAATCTCGTTTTTTATTTGAAAAAATCTGGGAAGTAGGGATAATTTTTAAAATAGCCAAAATTTGCTTTTTTTCGATATATCTAGTAGATAAGCCATGCATGAACTTTTTTCAAAAATCTGAAAGGTGCATATTTATACCCCATAAAACTGCATTTCTTTCCCAATTTAAACCACTCTCTATCTTCAGTAGTTTTCGGGATACGCATAGAGAACATCGTAGAAATACAATACAATCTTCTTTATTTATTTTTATCTGCAGAATGTGCTTCCGAAGTTTCCCGAACACAATTCGGACCACCATTTATATCGTGAATTTCTAGTTTTTGACTATACTGTATGTAATTTCAAGATTTATACAGGATGATAGTAATTCACCAAAATTTCAAAAATTTAAATTCATCCACCATTAGAATACCCAGAATAGCGCCACTCAAAGATGTGCATTTTGATGTGTTTTGAAAAGGGATTCTCGTTTATGAGTAGAGCCACAATGATGCGGTTTTCACATACTGTGCTACTTTCTTATGAAACGAAAGATGTTACACGCAGCTTTGTCCTAGCCCTTTTAGTTCTCGGTTATTTATATATAAATATATAATATAATATACCAGGTGCGTCTCAAAAGTGGCTCACCCCTATAATTTTTTTATTTTTTCAGATAAAAAAACGAGATTTCGTATGTTAGTATATGACATAAATTGGGATTGATTGACGCATTCAATTGTTTTTGGTCACTTCCTGTTTCACCGGAAATGACTACAACTTTTGATTTTTAAATGGCACCCCCGGTATATTTTTACTTTATTCGATAGAAAATGACATTCTGAGTAGAATGACGTATCATATGTCAACTTTTGACATTCTCGTTTAATAAAAAATTGTATTTTAAATTTTAATCTAGAGTGCTATGGCTATGTTAAAAACACTAATTCTTAACGAAGGAGCTTTGGAAAAATAGATTTGATCGTCTAATGTTTTTAGTGTCTTGTCCTGGCCGGTTAAAAAATGCCCAAATCGTATTTTTAATCATATCTCAATTTTTGCATATGGACCGAGGGTGGCTCATTAGAATATTTGGAAAAAGCATTTTTTTATGAATAATTTGATACCACACACACTTGGTATTTCTAGTCAAATTTTCGTTTTTTTCGCAAGTGTTATAATTTCAAATAAACTATATGGGAAAATGTCAAAAGTTGACATATGACATGTCTTCTATTCAGAGTATTATTTTCTATCGAGTTAAGTAAAAAAATGCTGAGGGTGCCATTTAAAAATCAAAAGTTGTAGTCATTTACGGTGAAACAGGAAGTGGCCGAAAACAATTAAATACGTCAATCAGTCCTAATTTATGTCATATACTAACAACCCAAATTTCTTTTTTTTAACTGAAAAAATATAAATATAATACTTACTATGGGACTTAATTTGATGTAATTAGATTTAAGTTTAATGGCCAGGGACGGCGGTGGGGCATCACTGTTAAATTATTTTAAAGGAAAAAATAGGCACGCCGCTGCTTTTTTAGAAGTTTAATATTCTTTTTGGATTTAGTAATTAAAAATATTATTTTTTTGTCTCCTGACTTTTTTGTCTATCTTGCTTACTTCTTGCGAAAAAAATTAAATTCATTTATTCGCTCCACCCTGAACAAGAAATTAAATAATCGGGCCGAGTATCTTTCCCGTGTATTTATGGATTTTTTTATAATGTAAACGATATGATATATCGTTGACGGCAACAATACCAGAAACCAATGCGTTGATGTTAGTGATTATCAATTCGAACAATTATTGTAATTTTTGTAACTAACCATTATTATTATTTGATTTATTGTCCAGGGTGGAGTGAATAGAGAAATTTAATTGTTTTCGCAAGAAGTAAGCAAGATAGACAAAAAAGTCAGGAGACAAAAACATAATATTTTTAATTACCTGTAGTCATTTCCGGTGAAACAGGAAGTGGCCGAAAACAATTAAATACGTCAATCAGTCCTAATTTATGTCATATACTAACAACCCAAATCTCTTTTTTTTAACTGAAAAAATATAAAAGTTATATGGCTAAGCCACTTTTGAGACGCACCCTGTATAACTTATCGAAAAGGTGAAATCGTTTCAATAAGTGAGTATTCGATATTATCAACAGTATTCCGCGAATTACCCTCACTTCCTCTATTTATTAATTTTATAGTTTCCAGCAGTTTATAGAAACGTTCAACTAATTATGGTTTATTATTTTCCTAATCTAGACACCCGAGAAACAGAAGCTATTCCTGAAGCAAATCTTTCCAGACTGGTTATTAATTCGAGTTATATCGGAACTTAGTATGGACGGCTTGAAATTCGGCGAAGATATGGAACTCTTTGAAAATGTCGAACAAGAAAAAAAAAAGGCAGAACTTGATAGTTCCACCAGGAAACGTGACACTTCAAAGTAAATAATAACATCGTCATTTTTTAACGTTTTTAGGAAAAACTCAGGCCGACCGACCACGGTGCCACACTTTTAAGACAAAAGCTACAAACTAGTTTACTCTACAATCACTTTCCATCTTCCATATGGATGCAACTTATTCTGAACCAGTTTCAATAAGTTGGCGTAGCAGTTCAATTTAATAATTTTTACAGTGTCAAAAATTCCGACTGTTCAAAATCAGATGATGGAGACAACATTGATTATTATCAATGCGGCAGATAATGCAAGACACAGTGGGAGTACTGGATCCGTCCATACATGCTTTCTCTGTTAAGTGTTTCCTTCATTACCCACAGAATATTATATTTATAGTATTCTCTGTTTTTCAATCTCTCCAACAACTTTTATGTTCCGTTCTTGATCACCCATTTTGATACACAGGGTGGTCCGAACTGTAGTCTGGAAACTTCGGCATCATATTCTGCAGATAAAAATAAGTAAAAAAGTTCGTATAAATGTATGTCCTAAAATGCTTAGTTTCGGAGATACAGGGTGTAGAAGTTTTTATTTCGATTTTTTCCAAATAATTTCTGAAGTAACGCCAATATTTGGATGAAAATAGGTGTCTGGAAGTTTTTTGACATGAGAAATTTGATTTTGATGTCAATATGACTCCTTGTGAGTAAAAGAATGTACATTTACGACGTTTTTTATGTAGAAAAGGTCTCTTGGTAAAAATTGTTCCGAGTAACGGTTCTCGAGATATTTGGAACCGAAATTACCAATACATGTCATCATTGACATAAAGTAAACATGTTGACTCAATAGTTATTAAACTGAAATCATAAATTTGAAATGTTTTTGTGTCAAAAGTTCAATAGAAACTGTTTCATCACCGTTTTTTTGCAGAAAAACTTATGATTAAATTAAAAAATTAAAATTTCTCAGATTTATTTTTTCAGTCAAGTAACTATCTACTCAACGTGTTTATTTTATTTCTATTCTAAATATCTTGAGAATGGTTGCTCGTAGCGATTTTTATCAAAAGACATTTTTTACGTAAAATGTTACCGAGATGTATATTTTTCACTCAGTAGTTTTATACAGGTACGGACGGAAAGTTATTACTCTTCAAAACAGTTAAAACACATGTAGGTGGCGCCCCCTACAAAAGGGAATCATATTGACATCAAAATTAAATTTCTCATGTCAAAAAACTCCCAGACACCAATTTTTATCCAAATATTGACGTTACTTCAGAAATTATTAGAAAAAAGTCGAAATAAAAATGCAACTTTTACACTCTGTATCTCCGAAACTAAGCATTTTAGAGCGAGATTTATGACATCACACTAGTTAGATACTACGGATTAATAAATATGTTGTAGAATACATGGAAAACATAATTATTCCTCGTATTTTTGGTTTGTATTTTAAAAATGATTTAGCTTACATGAAATATACATAATATACAGTTAATAAATACAATATATATACCAATTTATAGTAATAAATACTTTGGCAAATAAACTACGAACCTAACAAATGCAAATTGGGGTTTGAAAATCGATCTAATTTATCAAAAAACTTTAATATCTACTAATAGTGATGTATTGTTATTAATGTTCAAAAAATTATATTTGCAAATAATACACTACCATAGAAAAAAATGCGTCAGCGATGACTATGAAATAAAGATCGCTGTCATTTTATACGTAAAATTATTCTAAAATTTTTGATTTTCTTGGGATTTAGGTTCGGGAAAAACGCTGATAAGATAATTAATATAGATAAGTTTTCACTTGGTTTTTCATTATTTTTATTTGGTTAAAAATACGTTTCGGCTAACATTATAGCATTTATCAGTGTTGTGTCATATGAAAAAAATAGTGTCAAATATAATCCAAAAAATTACATATAAAATATTCACACCACATAATGTTTACTACAATTAATAAACTAATATAAACTTGTTGAAAGATTACCACATATATTTTAAAATGATTATTCTTAACACTAAAACTATCTACATTGACTATGGAGTACGATTTCAGCCATATTGTAAAACATTTGCTGCATTTATATAGTTCATAGTTTATTTGCCAAAGTTATTTATTTTATTACCTTTGCATTATGTATATTTCATGTAAACTATATCATTTTTAAAATACAAACCAAAAATACGAGGAATAATTATGTTTTCCATGTATTCTACAACATAATATTTATTAATCCGTAGTATCTAACTAGCGTGACGTCATAAATCTCGCAGTGAGGCTGTTCTATTAGAGACGGCATTGCATCAGAATGGCCGCAAGTTGCTAACCTAATAAAATTAACACTAGAAAAGCCCGCGAGAACTGTTAAATTCAAAGTTATTCGTTTTACAGACTATACCGAAGTTTCCGGAATACAATTCGGACCACCCTGTATACAGTGTGAGTCCTAAATAAGTGCAAATATTTTCAAGGCTGGTAGATCTCGATAAAAGAAACATATTTGCTCTTTGCCGTTTTTCAAATAAGTCCAAAATAACCGAGGTATTTAAGTTTGAAAATTAAAAAAAATGTTTCTTTTTGAAAAAATTTTGAGAGCCGCCGGATTTTTTCTGTAATTTCTTCTTCTAATTTTAATCTACTATCGAGATTTTAAGATTTAAGATTTATTTTTTAACTGAAAATTTAAAAATTTCACTTAAATGTTATTTATTACCCATCGCCAGCCAAAGGGTATTGCAAAGGCGCTGTTATCCCACACAATAAATATAAAAATCTTACCTCTGATATTTAAATAGCATATTAAGTTATTTTTTATTATATTCTTAACATGCAAGTCCTGCCTTATCTCGCCACAATACAGAAAACCAATGTCTTCCCATTTTCTTAAGCACTCACGAAACGTACGCACTTACTAACAAAATCTATCTTTGGAAAATCACTTTCTTTAAGATATTGCACCTTGTATAGTGAATACACGTGCCAACTTGAACAATTTTGTTTAAGCCAATTTTAAGTAATTTAAGAAAAATTCCATCTATTTTCAAATTAATACTGAACAGATAACAATACAAAACCAAACGAATACTAACATACCTTAAGCTATCAACCTATGATTTTGTAAATGTCAAATTGTTTTTTTCTAAACGTTAGGTTTTTGCCTCTATGCAACAAGTTTTAAATTACAAAAATAAATTTCGGACATACTAACTGTAGGTACTATAACGTAGTAGTTTGGTAGTAGCGTAAACATCACAACAAACTGACAAAATCATAGATTGAGAAGTTAAGGTATGTTGACATTGGAACAGATTAGGTATCCTATAAGTATACAGATAAAAATCTTGTCCCTAATTCGTGGTACGAAAATTGTTTTTATGACAATGAGCAAACGAATAAATTTTCTTGTGCGCAAAAATAAATTCCCCTTATATATTTATCGTATGGCTGCACATGACATAAAATGCATAAAAGTGTATAAAAACTATTCCAATTCACAAACAAACATTTAAATTGTATATATAGTCTATGGGGTCAAACTGTGACGTGTGCAGTTCTCTTGCAGTTCTTATAGGTGGTCTTCTGGATCGTAATCTGTTTCTCCATGCTTTATCCGTATCCTGGTGTATGGGAAGTTGAGGGTTGCCTTGTATACGTTTATATTCTCGGAGAAGCGCTGCCTTGCGCCGGAAATCTGGAGGAGGTATATGGCTCAATATTGGTAGCCAATCGGTAGGAGTCGATTTTAGCGTTCCGCTGATTATCCTCATGGTCTCATTTAGTTGTGTGTCTACCTTTTGGGTATGTGCACTGTTGAGCCAGATCGGTGCGCCGTATTCTGCAGTTGAGTAAGCTAGCCCAAGTGCTGAAGTTCTTAGTGTATCAGCGGTAGAGCCCATGAGAGGTACCGCATAGTTTATGAAGGATGTTGTTCCGGGTTCGTAGCTTCGCAGCCGTGTTCTCCAGGTGCCTCTTATAGGTCAGTGTCCTATCTAGGGTGACACCAAGATATTTCGGGTGTGTATTGTGGCGCAGTAATGTATCCTCGAAGTAAACCTGGAGCTGTCTATTCGCTGCTCTGTTAGAGAGATGGAAGCACGCCGTCTCCGTTTTATTGGGGCTCGGTCTCAGTCTCCATTTACGGAAATATGTTCCCAGGCTCGCCAAGTCTGAGGAGAGGGTTGCCTCCGTCTCCCCAAAGGAGCGATGTTGCGTGGTTAGTACCCAGTCATCCGCGTAGCCGAACTTCCGAGATCTGGTTTCGGGCATATCGGAGATGTAAAGGTTGAAGAACAGCGGGGCCAGGACAGATCCTTGCGGGAGACCGTCATTAAGCGTCCTTGAAGAGCTAATTTTGCTGCCCAAAATAACCCGAAAAACCCTGCCAGTAAGCATGTTATCAATGAGTTGCAGGGTTTGTTTGCATGGAATTGTTTGGTAAAGCTTATAGAGTAGTCCATGTCTCCACACAGTGTCGTACGCTGCAGAGAGGTCCACGAATACTGCCGATGTTTTCAGATTATCCTGGAAGCCTGCTTCAATATGGGTTGTGAGTGACATGATCTGATCTGTGCAGCTTCTCTCTGGTCTAAAACCGGCTTGTTCAATGGGGACCCTTTCCATTATTTTGCTCCCGATTCTATTATGGAGGAGTCTCTCAAGAAGGTTATAGACTGCGCTTAGCAGTGCTATTGGGCGATAACTTTTCGGGTCATCATTTGGCTTACCTGGTTTGAGGATGGCGATAACTCTGGACTTTTTCATTACGCTCGGAATGGTTCCCTTTTCCATGAGGTTCGTAAAGAAATGGGCTAAAATAAAACTAAAAATTAAAAAAAATAAAATTAACTAAAATACAAAAGTGTGTGCTTCCCTTTAAACAGCGTAATAACTGGGCTGGTCAGGCGCTGTGCACAATTTTAGAGGCTATAAGTGGGCGTGCTTGTGCGCAAACTAGTAACCTAACTAGTACGCGACTCCAAAAATTGGAACCACGAAAAACAATGCTTTTAACGATAAGTTTATAATCTGTATGATCTGTGACATTGGTCTGTCAATGCAAAACCTTAATAATTTAATAGTTTTAATCATCTACTGATGATGCTAACATAATAGTCCAGTCAATCTGGAGGTTGAGGTGGAAAAAATTAGTAACCATCCGATCTCAACGGGAATATACAATGATCTCCTATTTAACCCCTCAAAAGTCCCATTCGGTCCCAGTGGGGGAAGTTTGAAAAAAACCGCCGCAATCTTGGATTTTTTTTCGGATCTCCGTTTGCATAACATTTTTCGAAAAAAACTAAAGATATGATTTTTGTAGAAAATTAAATTTAGAATATTTTACCTTCAATAATTTTTTTTCTAAAATAAATAGTAACAGAGATAGAGCAATTTTTTACTATACGTTTTATAAATTTTCCATTTTTTTTTTAAACCAATCAGCTATAATTTTTACGTTAACAGTATAGTGTTAATATAAATAAACCACACAAGTATAAATTTAAGCATCAAAACAATTAAAAATAACGTTTAAATATTATTTATTAAATAACATCATTGTTAAAAAATTATTATTAAATTAAATTTATTAAATAAAATCTGCTATAATGTCATCCTGAGTCTCATTTTCGTCCTTAACTAAAATACAAAAGTGTGTGCAACTGATTCCGTAGCACTGACCACACTTTGAAGAACCTTTAAAACCCCGTTTTCTACAAGAGCAATTTTTAGAGCACTGACTCTCTTTGCAATTGCAAAAAATTAATTTTGGTACGCCAGGAGGCGCCATATCTTCTGTTGATTGAATAGATATCAGATTGCCTTTTTGGTCTTTCTTCCATCTATATGGTAAAGGATATAACTTGTTACCAATTCCATTCTTGAATCTAAAAAATACAACCACAAGCCATACTTAACGCTCATGTAACAGTCCGATACTAACAATAAATATAAGCAGATCTGTGGTTTTTAAATAATTGTAATATATTTATTTTTATTTTTATAGATCCACGGCTGATTCGAACGATATTAAAAGTATGATATTGGAAGAAGCACTCTTTAAACTTCGTGGGACATTAGAAAATATTTTGTAAGACAATTAGTACAATATATTTGTGAGCTAATTATTTTAGAATACTCTCTTTTACCTTACTTACGATGAAAAATTTATCTGTCAAATATTTCAATTTATGTATATTGTACAGGGTGTCCCATTTTCGTATGTTTTACAGGGTTTCTCGTATATGAGTAGAGATAGAAAGATGTGGTTTTCACATCACTATGCTACTTTTTTATAAAACTAAAGAACCTACACACAGATTCGTCATAGTCCTCTTATAGTTCCTGAAATACGAGCGAATTTGGAAATATTTGGTTGCATTTTTCGACCCCCTTTATATTTCGGTTGTCCTATAACTTATCGAAAAGTTAAAAACTCAGTCTCGTAGAGTTTTTCGCGTAGAATCCAGTGGCGTAACTAGTTTTTCATTTCGAAATACGACTCAAAATGTTTGATATCCTGTACTACGTAACTATGACACCCTGTACAGTCTGTTGTATCGTCGACCTAAGCATAGGAAATCCTATATAAATTTTAAAAGTGATGAAAAGTGTAACGTAAATGTAAAGAAACTTTTTAAATAACTCCTTAAAATGAGGCAAATTGTCCATTTTCATTTGTTTCTACAAATTCTTTATGGTGTTATAAAAATTAAAAAAAAATGCTAAATTAATTGAAAAAATAATCCGATCCTGATCGGAATAACAAACATGCTACCTTCAAATTCAATTTTTTAATGTCAAATTGACGTTTTTGTTGCCAAAAATAATTTATAAATATGAATTAAACAACTAAAGAAAGAAAAATAGTATACACCTATGTGTTCAATAATGACCTCTGTATACAACTAGTGTTATTATGGAGGAAATAATCTAAATGATATAAAGGGATTTATTTTGTCTACATTTTCCAAAGAGGCCAGAATCCGAAAGGATATTTTTGATAGATCTCTGTAGAAGAAAATCATAATAAATTTGTCATATTATAGTGACATAACTTGTTTTTTTTATGTTCGACTGACTAGAACCGGATTAAATTCAAATTTTCGCCTAATTTAGTATTTCTGTATCTGTCATAATTCAAAAACGAATTCGCGTATACACTGATGATTTCGTCCATTTAGAGGCATCGGTTCGAAATGTCGATAACGTCACATCCTGTAGCCCATCTCCAATTATGCCGAAATCGACCGAAATTTTTCTTCAATATAAAATCCTTAGTCCCACATTAATGAAGATGTAAACGAAACGTCGCCGTCGTATCCAACTATGCAGGATGGGACCGTGTGCACCGTCGCTCACAGGCTATGTGTGACCCACTCATCAATCAACTTTTGACATTTCTTACGCCAAAACTAACTGACACAGTGACACGTGTCGTACACGGTCAAGTTGGCCTCAAAACCAAACCAAATCGAAATACCGAATTTCATTTAAATCGGACGATTTTTTCTAAGCCGTAGGCTACCCTTACCGATTTCCTCTTGTCTGTCAACTCGCGTGTCGTGTCACGGCATCGAAGTTTTACTCCCAGTGCACGTAAAGAAGTTTTACTTCAATAAAATGAGGAAAGCTTATTTGTCATTTTTTAAAATGTTCTATGTTCAGGTCGACAATGCAACACACGGTACAAAAGGATTAATCTTCTGATTCTCTGATTAAGTGAGCCAATCGCTCCACCTGAAACGACCAAATCGAAAATGTTTATGGACTTTTTCAAAAGGAAGCCAAGCAGAGCAGCAATTTGGAGAACACTGCCCCCTCTAGAGTTGGACGAGATGAACTTAAACCAGAAAGCAGAAGCTATAACCGAAAAGGTAATTCACATCACGCAGAAGAGGTTTTTTCCATTAACAAGGGGCCGTCCTCTGCCGGAAACACTGCGATCTGTGAGGCTTATTGATGTGTTTGTCTCCTTTCTATATATGCACCCATTCTCCTATCTCTGTATCCTGCACTAACTTATGCAGGTCCTTGATAGGATGGGAGCATAGTTCCTCCGGTTCTGGCCTAGCTTTTCCAAATAAAAAGTGTTGCTTGCGATCCAGAGCCTTGCAGTAACATATTATGTGCTCCGCTGTTTCAGGATATTTATCGCAGAATCTGCAGCAAAGAGTTCCTTGACAGGTTGAGCTTGTTAAGGTAACACTTGACAGCCATGTGCCCTGTCAAGAGGTCTGTTGTAATCTGCACTTTATTCCTGATAAGCATTAGCAGTTTTTTTGTGGTTTTCGAGCTAGGTCCATAGATAAAGGCCTTGCTGTGCCTGTACCCCTGTCTGTTTCTCCAGTGGACATTCTGCTTTTCCATGATCCAGAGTTTTAGTGCATTACGGGCCATACATTTGGATATTCCCAGTACTGGCCAAGATAGGATGCCGATGATCCTTGCCTAGCTAGCTTATCGGCTTTTCCGTTGTCTTGTATGCCACTGTGGCCTAACACCCAGAATAATTTAATTCTGTTCCTTCGTGTCAGAGCTCCCAGTTCACCTAGACATTCCCAGACGAGTGTTGACGATACCTCTGGGCTCATAAGCCCCCAAGTGCCGCCTGACTGTCTGAGCAAATATTGATGAGCTTACTTGAATAAACTCTTCTGTTTCCAGGTGAAGATTTCTGCCTGGAATACGGTTAAGTATTTATCAAAGCGTTTTTTTATTCAGCGGTCGTTGACCCGTCTGTTTACCAGATTAGTCCGTCCTGAAGGAATGTTGTATCTGTCCACATTCCTCGATCTATTTTGTTCACCACGAATGATTTGTGGTAGTGATAAAGAGGGGTCATTTGGCCCAGTCTCAGAACACGGAATGCAGAAGTTACTTTTACTAAACATATTAGTAATTTAAATTGAAATAGAATATCTATACGTATCATGAAAATACTCAAAATAATGTTACGGAATACCTTTACAATAAAATGTTTTGTTAAATTTACAGATAGCTACAGATTTTATAGAATGGTTAAAAGATTTAGGTGGTGATGAGGAACTATCTCTCACGGTGCAATCTATAATCGACATGTTTGAAATTGGATTTTATGCTGACATTGCTACTTCTTTAAAAGTCCATTTGAGGGAACTAGCATCGGTGCCGCAAAAAGTTGCTGAAGCAAGAAAATTGCCACATGTAAGTATCGACCAATCGCTTATACAAGGTGTCCCAGAAATAAGTACCAGTATTTTAAGGTAGTTAGGTGGTAGATCTGGCCAAAGAAACATATTTTCTCTTTACCATTTTTAAAATAAATTGGCAATAACCAAGTTATTTAACGTTGAAAATTTTTAAAAAATTGCAACATTTTGAGAACCGCCGGCAAAAATCGTAAATTACCCGGATCTCACCGGCCACTGGTGCCACATCGACTAGAAAGACTTAAAAACAACATGTAAAAGTCCACACCACCCAAGAGGTTTTGCAAAAGTGTGTTATTTTTTTTCGGCCACTGGTGCCACATCGACTAGAAAGACTTAAAAACTACATGTAAAATTCCACACCACCCAAGAGGTTTTGCAAAAGTGTGTTATTTTTTAATGGGGTGATCGCCAGTAACCCTACTTCCCACATTCCACAAAATAAATGCAAATCTTAAAAGAAAAGAAAACTTTCCGAACAGTAAAAAGGTGAATCCCGAAAGCAAATTGATATAGTTGCAACGCTTTATTTTTTTTCCAATTTACTATTATTAACACCGCACTTGACACTATGCGTAACAACACTTCCAATGCACGTTAGCAATCATATCGAAATTGACACTAAAGCCTATTAACCCGACTAACTGAAATTTTGGCAAAAATGTTTAAATTTGTTGTATTATTTAAGATACCGAGCAACTCTTCATTTTACTTTATAAAGAAAATGATTGTAACAGATATTTTATTTAGATTAAAGCTGCAAAAATTAGTTTAAAGCGATTTTTATTATCGCCATGTTGGTCACATTGTACCACGATAAGTAACGTTGTCTTTTATTATTAGACAACTATAATGTCAGTCATTATTTTGTATAATGTCGTGTTGTTGTTGAATCTTTGGGATTAATTCTCGTTTTTTGCCGATTTTCGTGTAGTCTTTTTTTTAATTGTAGGTACTTTTAAACACAAACAGAACATCTTTTAAAAACTAAATTTTCGAGTTTTTGTATTACATTTTTTGAAATTGTGCGTTGAAAATATGCCGAAGCATTTAAACAGTCGAAGAGTTTGTAGCTTTTCTGATAAACAATTTAATTAATATAATAAATAATGATAATAAAGGTCCTTTACTGCAGTCAGAGAGGTAAGTTTGATTAGTAAACACATTATAACACTTTCAAAGTTATTTCTACTTATGTTGATTTGTAGCTGCTGCCTTAAATTTAAATATTTCTACTGTGAATATTATTAGTAGATAAATTAATCACTAAAATATTAATTATTAAATTAAAAATTGGCGCCGGGAGGCACGTATAGCCGCCCATACTAAAATATGTTAATATCTCGTAAACTGCGACTTTGACTGATTTTGATGTTATTACAAATTTTGTTAAAAAACATTATTCCTAATCATAACTTGAAAACCGCGTTTCGCTAGCTACTGTAATTTTGGAGTTACGATTTTTTTTAAATTTTTAACCCCCTCCAATACCCTCTTACCAATCCCCCACCCCCACCAAAAACTAATGGCCAGATTTTCAGGTGCCACAGTATTTTTGTGCCAAATTTGGTTAAAATCGGTTCAGCGGTTTTTGAGTTATCGTGTTACAGACGGCAGACAGACAGGCAGACACCATGAAAATATTTTGTATTTAGGTCATTTATGACCCAAATAACTCATTTTGAGTGAAATTAATTTTTTTTTTTGCCGATCCTAATAGCCTACCATACCTATTGGTATGGTCGGCTAAAAATAAGATGTAAAAATTTAAAAATGATATAATAAATATATTGTAAATATATTCTTTCCCAATTTTATCTTAAGATTCATCTTATAAATCCATCACAATCTGGCAGCGCTGTCGCTATCGCCTTTCACTCAAAGTTGGTCACGTGCATTGGAAATTATTTTGCGATTACTTTATCTATTAATCTCAACATCACAAAACTAGCATTTGTAAAATATTATTTAAATTTTTTCACATCATAATAATTTACACAAGTACAACAAAATTTAAGGCGTTCGATCGAACAGATCAGCTGATTGGTGGTTGTCTGGTTGTATAAACATAGATAAATCAATTTTATTTTATACAACCACCGACCGTTCAACTGATAATTGAATTACAAGCAATGAATAACTTGTTTGTTGATTGAAACGATTGAAAATATTTCCTAATGTGGGGAAGAAACAAGCTGTTATAATTGTTAAGATTTATTTTCTCAGTTTATCCAACTGTAAAAAGTATTTAAAACATTGCATGTTTCTCTACACTAATATGAAAAAAAAAATTCGCATATCTTTGTTTAGAAACTTAAAACTATTGTGAATTTAGAAACATGTAAAATGTGGGTAATGTAGGAGGTGGCAACATTGCATTCTCTACGAGATCGTTTCTAGGCACCGTAAACGAATTTCCCGAGAATGAACAGTGGCACTCAAAAGTTTTTCAACATTTTTTGGAACAAGGGTCGAACTATACTACAGTTAAAATAATACATTATTTCTGAGACACCCTATATGACTAAAAACTAGCAGAATTAAAATTTTGCTTTTACGAATTCGCTATTATTAGGTACTTTTAGACGGTCAGTTCAGGTTTGCGTTCAGTTTCAGTTCAGTTCAAAAATAACGACCTATTTAGACAATCAGTTGAGTTTTCACTATTGTCGTGCACAGTGCAAAAGTGCATTGAGTGAGAAGAAGAAAAAGAAGTACTCGTAAATGAAGCAAATACTGGTTCTAAAGACAATATCACTGTCTCATGTAAATTTTATAAATGTACTTCACTTTGAACCTTCTGATTGGTCAAACTATTTATGAACGAATGAGGATGTTTATAGAATTGCTCTATTAGTGACCACAATTATAAAAAACGCAGTGCAACTGTAAGATTTTTGGCAACTGGGAGTTCTTACCAAGGTCTTAAACTTCATACAGTATACAGGGTGGTCCAAACTGTATTCCGGAAACTTCGGCAGCATATTCTCCAGATAAAAATAAGTAAAAAAGTTCATATAAATATATGTCCTAAAATGATTAGTTTCGGAGATACAGGGTGTAGAAATTTCATTTTTATTTCGGTTTTATCCAAATCATTTCTGAAGTAACGTCAATAATTGTATGGAAATTGGTTTCTGGGAGTTTTTTGACATGAGAAATTTGATTTTGATGTCAATATGTCTATTGAATATTTGTAGGGGGCGCGTTAATGTGTTTTAACTGTTTTGAAGAGTAATAATTTTTCGTCCGTACCTGTATAAAACTACTGAGTGAAAAAATATAAATTTTTTGTGACTTTTTACGCAAAGATGTCTCTTGGTAAAAATCGCTACGAGCAACCGTTCTCAAGATATTTAGAATTGAAATAGTCAATACATGTCATAATTGACAAAAAATTCACACGTTGAGAGTAGATTGAAATTTGACTGAAATAATAAATTCGGGAAATTTTTATTCTTTTTAATTAATCATAAATTTTTCTGCACAAAAATGATGATAAAACTGTTTCTGTTGAACTCATAGTTGAACTTTTGGCACAAAAACATTTCAAATTTTCTATTGCAATTTTTTTTTCTATTGACTAAGAGTGGGTCCCATGGGACCCTCCACTGCGGTCGCGAGGGCCTATTGTGGCTCAGTTTCTACAAGCTCTAATATACAAGAGCGTCAAAGTTCACCCTCAAAACCCAGCCTCTTAATATAGGCCGTTATGTCTGAGGGCGATATGTCTCCTAGGTCTGATAGGTCTAGCATGGGTTTGCCAAACATCTCAAACCTGGTCCTGCCCCCAGCGGGGCAGGTACACATAACGTGCTTCATTGTTTCGTCATCTTCCATACAGAGTCGGCATTCGGCGTCTTCCACCAGTCCCATCCTCTGTAGGTGAGATCTCAGCCGGCAGTGGCCCGTGTACACTGCAGTGAGCGTACGCGCTCCAATCCTACCGGCCTTTAGGAGTTCTCCTGTTCTATGTTTGGATGGCCTGCTAGGATTTTCTTGGCATGTTCCTAACCCATTCACAGAGCCTGTCTCTTGCGAGATTTTTAGGAACGCTAAGTGTCGGTTGTGGGCCCACGAATGGCGAGCCTGCACCAATTTTGGCGAGGGAATCAGCACGTTCATTTCCCTCTAGGCCGACGCGACATGTCCCGGTATCCATATTAGCGACACTTTGTTCCTATCTCCCAGTATATTGAGTAGTTTCTTACAATGAAGAATCGTTATAGACGTGCTTTTCGTTGCCTCAAGTACTTTCAGCGCGGCTTGACTATCCGAAAATACGCATATTGTTTTCTCGGTGTATTGCTGTTCTACCAGCAGTTGCACACAGGTTTCAATAGCATATAGCTCAGCTTGGAAAATCGTGGTGTGTTTTCCAAGACTGTGGTAGATCTGTCTTTGGATTGCTGCAGTAAATTCCTGCGCCAGATCCTTTATCGTTTTTGGATCCGTCCGTGTACAGTACGTCTGCTGGATCTGTGTCTATGAAAGGAATGCGGACAAAAAACATTTAAATAAACAGCAATATATTTTATACGTCGACTTGACGAGTACGTCACCGCAAATCGCTCCGCCCACTTATTTTATTGGCTACTTGCAAATTTGTCGAATTTTTATTGATGGAACGCGTCCTCTAATTTTTTACGAAAAATATCGAGAGAATATCGTTTCCCCACTCACGGATACGCCGTAGCTACAAAACGGACAGACGTACTGTACCAACACATTTCCGCATGTAGTAAACCGTTTCCCGGCTTATCCCACTCGTCCCTATTCGGAAACAGGACGTTGTAGGTGCGCGTCAAGAGTTGGACTAGTGGTGTGAGATCCGAGACCATTCCCAGAATCTCATCCGACTGTAGTTCTTCTACTAGCCGGTTTTGTATGAACATGATTGTTCCTTGGCTTCCTCGTGCTATATTTAGAAACCTATATGTAGCCCATCTCGCCTCTCTTTCCAAAAGAATTTGAAGAGGAGGTAGGTCGAGTAGGGTTTCCATAGCTTTTGACGGCGTGGAATGGAAGGCACCAGTCACCGCTAAGCATGCTTGTCGTTGTAGTTTCGACAATTTATTCTTTACCGTTGTTTGGTTGGCTTTCTGCCACCAGGCAACTGCACCATACGTGATAATAGGTCTGATGGCCGTCACGTATAGCCAGTACATATTTTTGGGGTTTAATCCCCAGTTTCTACCACAAATTCAGCGGCATGCCCATAGAGCATAGCAAACCTTTTTTGATGTTTTTTCCAGATGAGAGGTCCAGCTAAGTTTTTTGTCCAGGTTTAATCCTAGATACTTGACCTCCTCCGCAAACGGAATTGTCTCACCAAGAAGAATGGGCGGTTTCAGTTTGTCTGTTTTCCTTCTTCTGGTGAATGGTATGATCACGGTTTTCTGTGGGTTTACACTTAATTGTTCCAGTATGCACCAGCCGTGAATTGCATCTAGGACTTCCTGTATTTTTGAGGAGATGTCCTCCTCTTTGTGTCCTTTTACTAGGATTACCAGGTCGTCCGCATATGCTTGTGCTTCAACCTCGTATGCATCGATGATTTCTTGATCGATGATTGATCTTGAACTCTTACAAATATTATATAATATAAAAAATTATAAATAATTACAAAATAGCTATTTATGTAACAAGTTGCGAAATGAATATGTTTTAAGCTTTGGTTTTAAGCACGGGACGCAAAATTGTCGAAAGGCGAAAGCCGAGTTGGACAATGCTTCGAGTGCTTAAAACACTCTTTAATTTCATACAAGATTTGTTGTGAAAGCGGACAATTTGAGATTTTCAGGCTATTATTATTATTTATTTTTAAACATTTTTTAAAATGTTCTGGTAATCGGTTTCTAAGGCATTGTTTATGCATTGTTTAATGACAGTTAATGACAAAGTTCTATCAGGTTCAAACGTCCCCGTATTTCCTACAAAGTTTTGTGAAAAAATCAGTGATAATGACGAGTTTTTGGATATTCAACAAGCTGCTGAAACTGCGCTATCCACGTTAGTGCCCGAGAAGTCGAAAAACTTATATGAGACCACCTACAACAACTTTGAGGGTAACGGCCCAGCTACGTCGAAACACCGGTTCCCATAATCAGGTCGTCCGCTAACAGGGTCCACAGAAGAGGAGAGAGAACTCCTCTGCCCGGAACAAACCTAACGGACTCACCACTGAGCGAGGTCGTTGCTAGTCGATTTTTGAGCATTTGCTCAATCCATTCAGTTATGGTTGCTTCGACTCCTCGTGCTTTCACAGCGCCTAGGAGTGATTGAGGGGTAACATTGTTGAATGCTCCCTCAATATCTAAGAATATCCCTACCGCAATTTCTTTGCGATCAAAGGTACCCTTCATTTCCCCTACCAAATTGTTGAGGGTCACTTCTGTTGATTTTCCCTGTTGATAAGCATATTAATTAAATTGTAAGAATCCTCCCCCTAATATGTCCATTCAATATCTTCTCCAGAGTTTTCAGCAGAAATGATGTAAGGCTTATTTTTCGATATGAGCCAGGTTGTAGGTTTTGTTTCCCCACTTTCGGTATGTATATCACCTTTGCTCTCGTCCAGTCAGCTGGCAGGTGTGACTATGCCAGACTTGCCCTAAAAATTCTTAATAAGCGAGGGACGATAATGTTCTCAGCATTCTGCAATAAGGCCAGAAACGCCCCGTCCTCTCCTGGAGATTTAAATGGGGTCGACACTTTCGATCGTCCCTTTAGTCTCCTTATAGGTGATTACTTTCTTCGCTATCTCCCAATCCTCTTTTTTGGGCCGATTTTTACGACGCATGAGTAACGGAGGGGGGGGAGCTCTTCATCACCTAGTATCAAGCAGCCTGGGAAGTGTTTTTGGGCCAAAATCTCTAGCGTTTCTTTCCTGGACTCTGTGAAATTACCGTCGGGGCGCTGTATCGTCCCTAGCTCATTCACTGGTTCTTTTGTATTTCAGTTTAGTTAACTATTTAGTCAACATGTTTAATTTAGGTCCATGATGACAGGTATTGATAATTCCGATTCCAAATATCTCGAGAGCCATTACTAGTAGATATTTTTACCAAGAGGCCTTTTTTACGTAAAAAAACGTCGTAAATGTATATTTTTTACTCAATAATTTTATACAAGGTACGGCCGTAAGGTTATTACTCTTCAAACAAGTTAAAAAATATGTAGGTGGCGCCCTCTACAAGTAGGAGTCATATTGACATCAAAATCAAATTTCTCATGCAAAAAACTACCAGACACTAATTTTCCTCCAAATATTAACGTTACTTCATAAATTATCTGGAAAAAATCGAAATAAAAATGAAATTTCTACACCCTGTATCTCCAAAACTAAGCATTTTAGGACATACATTTATAGAAACTTTTTTACTGATTTTTATCTGCAGAATATACTGCAGATAAAAGTAAATAAGTTTCCGGAATACAGTTCGGACCACCCTGTATATCAGCTCCTTTTTTCGAGATTTTCAATATAGAGTGCCATGGGTGTGTTAAAAACATTAATGTTTAATCAAGGAGCCTTGGAAAAATAGTTTAGATCGTCTAATGTTTTTCGTGTCTTGTTCTAGCCGGTCAGAAGATGCCCAAATCGTATTTTTAATCATAATATCTCATTTTTTCAAATAAAACGAGGGTAGCTCATTAGCATATTTTTACGAATAATTTGGTACCACACAGTTGGTATTTCGAGTCAAATTATCGTTATGATCCGCATGTTAGAATTTCAAATAAACCGTATGAGAAAATGTCAAAAGTTGACATATATTGATATGTCATTCTATGCAGAGTGTCATTTTCTATCGAACTAAGTAAAAAAAATACCGGGGATGCCATTTAAAAATCAAAAGTTGTAGTCATTTCCGGTGAAACAGGAAGTGACCAAAAACAATGGAATACGTCAATCGTTCCTAATTTATGTCATATACTATCATACCAAGTCTCGTTTTTTTATCTGAAAAAAATAAAAAAGTTATAGGGGTGAGCCACTTTTGAGATGCACCCGGTATGTCTTATTATGCTACTGCGAAAACTGATACCTAAACTGACATGTTTTTTTATACATCATTTTAACTGATACAAAAACTTTGAATATTCACCGAGTCAGGGCTCCATTTCAGCCTCAGTTTTTTATCATTTTTCAGTCATGTTTTTGTGTTTCGACATACGATAACTGACAACTGAACTGAAACTGCACGGTAACCTGTACTGACCGTCTAAAAGTACCTTTAAAAAATCATTAGCACGATGGGCATTTACAAAAATATTTAGGAATTCATTCAGTTGAACAATAAATTATTCTGCAATCAAAACCCTGTTTTCGATATTTTCAGAAAGCCAAACGAGCTGTTCTCCATCAAGAAATTACAAACGACTTAAGGGCTAGCAAAAAGAAAACAGTTTACGCCGCCTTTGGTAGACGACTGCCATCGGAACTACAGACTCGTCCGCAGGCTGAAAATTACTTTAAGAAATGGATGAGTTGTGATAGAGTGCCGGAGAATTTGTCTAGTATGGCAACTGTATGGCAAGGCATTACGCACTTAAAGTAAGTATAAACATTATTATAAAATTGTCCAGGGTGTCCCAATATTCAGTGGATATAGAACTACTACTTATTTTTGGAACCAAATTAAGTTCATTGGAGACAATTTACCTCAAAGGCGCTTCGTTTGTCCGTTAAAGGGCATCAAACTTAAAAAAAAAAACATTTTTTACGATATTTTAAGAACCGATATTCCGATTTAAATGAGATTTGGGGTGCATATGTTTTACTAGGGCTTCAACATTTCACGTTCACAAAAACAAGAAAAAATACGGGAAGGGAGAAAACTATACTCTGTTTTTTTTCTCGGGTAAGATTTCGACAGACGATGACAGGAAAAAGCCGATGACATCTATACCAATCCATTTATTTAACTAATAAAAGTTTTTCATATTTTTTAAGTTAACTATGGATTAGTTTATACCGGGTGCGTCTCAAAAGTGGCTCACCCCTATAACTTTTTTTATTTTTTCAGATAAAACAATGAGATTTGGTATGTTAGTATATGATAAAAATTAGGATTGATTGACGTATGCAATTGTTTTCGGTCACTTCCGGTTTCACCGGAAATGACTACCACTTTTGATTTTTAAATGGCATCCTCGGTATTTTTTTACTTTATTCGATAGAAAATGACACTCTGAATAGAACGACATATCATACCTATGTCAACTTTTGACATTTTCACATATGGTTTATTGGTGAAGCTCACACTTTAGAGTTAAAAACTCTTTTGATTTTGAAAAGTCTCCTTTTGTTGCGTCTAATCTCAACATATCAAAACTATTATATTATTAATTTTTTCTTCTATTCGGCTATTTTAGGTCTAATATACTATGCAGGAAGTTGCTTGAGCTTGAAACACGGTTTGAAAGCAGGAAATCTTTTTTATATCTTTTTTTGGTATGTGGTGTTTTTTTTAATGAACCCTTGCTTGTTATGTATTAACACATACTGTAATTGTTTTTGATGATTGGATTTTTTCAATTTTATACAGTTTTTTTCACAATATTTTGAAGTAATCACTTGTCACTCAAATTTTAAATATATTAATTTTCTGCTATGCGTTCCAATTATACCAACTTATTTCTTTGTAAAATAAAATACTTTGAAAATAAAATGACAGACACATCTATCACTGTGAAGGATATTGTCGCTGGACAGACTATACCTCCATCACTACATAAATTTTAGTAGAAATGTCTATATCTCTGTGGCGGATTCATCTCTTCAAACAATTCTTACGGGTATTGTGCTACTGTAAGAAAACTTACAAAATAAAATAGTTATTTTTTGTAAACACTGCTGCGTTAATCCAACGTAGACAAATTTGTCAGCAGTGGTTTACTATAAGTAATTTTGTAATTTAGTCACCCTGTATAATGGCCAGAACTTTAACCGTTAAAATTATAAAAAAATGTATCATATTTCGTCAAAATAAAAACACTAAATCACCACAATACACCAAAACACTTTTATTTTTACACTGGACGCGCGTTTCGCTAACCATGTTAGCATCATCAGCAGATGATTATAAACTAAAGTACAATCTACAAGTTGAGCGTTTATATACTCGCTCAGTGGGCACCGAGTGGGCGTGGCAAAATCTAGCCAACCGAGTCAGAGCCCACTGAGCGTAACAGTTAGATTTCCGCCACTAGAGTAGTAGGAACAAAGAACTTGAAGGAATTGGACCGTTGTCTCTGTTCATACTATCTTTACATTTACTAATTCTGATGCTTTCATATGCGTCTAATTGCTTGTAATTTGAGACTTGTTTAATTAATTTTAATTTATTAAGATCTATACAATGTTCTTTATCAACAATATGTTCGGCAACGCAAGATTTATCCAGTCTACCATATCTTATCTGAGCTAAATGTTCTTTAAATCTAGTTAATATTGATCTTCTAGTTTACCCAACATATTTCTGATTACAATCTTTACAAGAAATTTCATAAATACCCGGCCTTTCCAGTGGTGGTGTTTTATCCTTTAGATTACCTAATAATTGTTTTGTAATTTATTATTAGCACTATACACAAGTTTATAATTGACATTCTTAAAAATTGCTTTTAGACCACGGGATAACTCTCTATCAAACGGTATCGAAAAATATTTAGACGTATCTTTCTCCACTTAAAAAGTCGAATTTTCAGAAATCATTAACCTATACCTACGTTTTCTAATTAATTTATCAACTAGTGAAGGAGAATATCCATTACACTCAGCTACATTCCTAATGTAATCTCTTTCTATTTCATATATTTCGTTGGAAAGTGGGAAACTAAGTAATCTATGAACTAACATGGTTAGCGAAACGCGCGTCCAGTGTAAAAGTAAAAGTGTTTTGGTGTATTGTGGTGATTTAGTGTTTTTATTTTGCTGTGTAACGCCAAAGGTTCCAACCCTCAACTGTAATCATATTTCGTATTTTTATTTCTAGGTCGACGAGGGCATATTGCGAATATTTAATAGAAAGACCCGACATTAAACCTCCGAAGTATTTGCTCGATTGCGGTATGCTGAATCCGAAAAATCTTCAGGACGCAAGTATAAATGATTCGGATTATTCAGTAGGTGGTATATTTCCGGACGAGTGAAAGTTTAGGGCTATTTTTATGTGTATCATTTAGAAATCTCGAATACTATGTATCAAATTAAGAACAGGTTTAAACCTTCTCAATAACAGTGAAATATAGTCATTATATTAGTCTGTGTTTAGTTTTGTTACTTTGTTCTCAATGAAACATAGCGTTTCTCTAGCTAATTATATTTTGGTTTTACTGATCGAACATCGAACTATTTTAAAACCTCACCACCTCTTTTTATATCACCCTGTAACGTGATTATATCAACTATAGTTCATATCAAATAAACTTTTAGTCACGTGATTAAGCTTGACCGGCCCAATGTTGCCCACTCTTACATATTTTCTTTTAATCAAAATATTTACAAAAATAAATTAATTATAAATAATATAAAGGGTGAGTTTTCTACGATGTTCTCTATGGGTATCTCGGAAACTACTCGAGATAGAGTCGGTTAAATGGGGAAAGAATTGCAGTTTTGTGGAGTCATAAATATGCGCCTTTCAGATTTTTGAAAAAGTTCATGGCTTATTAGATATTTCTAAAAAAACAAATTTCGGCTATTTTAAAAATTGTTCCTAATTCCATTATAAGCTATTTTAGACAAAAAGTTTTCAGATCCTTAATGAGATTGTGTCCTATGTTTTTTCTAAAGCCTGTCATTTTTGACATATGACACAAACATGTTTTTTTTTAAATGGAAATCATAGTTGGTCATGCCTTTATAAAAAGCGCCATTTTTTAAGCTTTTCAGCGATATATGTTTTCTTCGAAAAATATCGAGTTATCGCCAATTCTTATCATTTTACCAGTTTAATCGTCGTTGCTCTCATAAATGTGAAGCTGCTACATCCAAACTTTGTAAATTAAAATAAACAAAAATTGTAAATATGAATTTTTCAAATAAAGAAAAGCGTGCAAGATTATTGGTTCAACTTTTCTTGACCATACATTTTCGAGTATATGTTGACCGGTGAATGTTATGTTTTTTAGAGAACAATTAAAGTCATGTTGGAAACACTCTATTCATGCGCGAGTAAACATATTTACAATTTTTGTTTATTTTAATTTACAAAGTTTGGATGTGACAGCTTCACATTTCTGAGAGCAACGGCGATTGAACTTGATTCAATGGAATTGGCTATAACTCAGTAATTTTTCGCAGAAAACATATTATAGCTTATATCGCTAAAAAGCTTAAAAAATGGCGCTTTTTATGAAGTCATGGCCAACTATGGTTTCCATTTAAAAAAACATATGTTTGTGTCATATGTCAAAAATGACAGGGTTTGGAAAAAAACAGAGGACACACTGAAAAAAATATTGTTCATAATATTAATGAACTTTGATTATTAACTGTTGTTTCATTGGGACAATGATTTTTTTCATTATATTAATGATTTGTTAATCATAGATCGATGCCTGAGTTATTAATAGTATGAATCTAATTTCATCAATATAATGAAAATCTGGTTAATAAATTAATGTAAGATTTTCATTAATATAAAGAACGCGTTCATTGTCCCAATGAATGCGTTCTTTATTTTAACACATATCACATATTCATTATATTAATGTACTAAATCATTGATTAATGAGTTGTACACTGTTACAACGAACAATGTTATTACTACAAGGAACACACTACATTATATTAATGTACGCGGTTATTAATATCAGGAATAAAATATTAGGACTTAAATGATGGCCATCTTGATCGGTTACTTTGGCTCTTTAATAACGTATGTGCGGTTGTGTTATTCAGTGAGGCTTTAGTTTCATTAGAGCGGTAAGTGTTCTCTTCAATATCTTAAATATTTTAAATAAAAGTCCTATCATATTGTAGTTAATTTGTTGTGTTGTCCAATCAAATTCCGCTGTGTGAGATCTTTGGTGCAGGTATTCATTAAAACAGCGGTTTCCAAATATTCTTCAGAAGATAAAAAACAAAAAGAAGAAAGACATAGTAACAAGTCGAGGCATGAAACTGATTATGGTAAATTCGAAAGTTCTTTTAATATTTGGCATTTTAATTATTTTGATATACGTCGCTTTTAGAACCGGAACAAGATGCTGAGATCTGCCTTCAAACCCTCAAATTCGACAATTTAACAATGGACCCACTTGAAGGCCTGTTGCAAATTCGTCTAGACGTTATCAAGTCAAGCAAGCTACAGCTAATATAATGAAGAATTGTTTTTTTTATAGAAATCCCCCAGGATGTCGACTGGTAAATTAATTTTCTTATTATAATTTACCCTAAAGTTAATAATAACATTACTATTCTCTTCGTCCATTCGATTTTTTTTTAATTTTTAAATTTTTAACTTGTATATGCTATATCAAGTTTGAATAAATTATTATTAGTTTATTGCACATGTTTTTTATTGCCATAATGAAAAAATTTACTATGCTCGTAAGTAAGTCGGCACTATTGGTAGTTTTGTTACCTATGTAGCTAAGGGCTTGTTCAAATGGAAATATGATTATAGTAGAATTATTTTAGGTAGTTTGCTAGGAAATAACTATCAATGACATTTCATATTAATGACAGCGATCTTCATCATCGATTATACGGTATAACAAGAGTTACTGATAGTAGATACGACTTTTAAATGTATAACTAAACAGGTTATGAAATTATTTCATTGTATTAATGATACAGTTCATTAATATAACGATTTAGGTACATTATATTAATGAAATCTGTTCATTGTAGCAATGAATGTGTTCTTCAAATTAATGAACACTGTTCATTGATTTAATGAACTTAAAGTTCATAGAGTTAATGAATTACTTTTCATTGTGCCAATGAAATCGTTCATCGGCTCAAAATTAATGATTTAATTCATTATACTTATTAATGAACTTTTTCATTATATTTCTGTCGACTTTTGGTTCAGTGTTTTTTTTAGGTTCTTGCGGCCGGATATAGCTCTTATTTTTTTCCAAAAAAGCTACCAAACCAAACATATCCGGTCGCTAGATCACGCTGATTTTCAGTAAATTTTCCGGTATTTTTCGACTGATTCAGACAGGGTTATAGATAAAAATCTGAAACTTGCTGTATCGAAGTATTTTATGGGTACAAATATTTCCTGAAATTATGAGCCTGAACCCTTTCTGGGGTCGATTCGGTATTCTTATCATCCCAGAGCCTTTTGTCTAAATTGGACTCTGGTCTTTTTTCCCTGCATCCTTCATAGACGTTTATTTCTTTAATGTCATACTTGTCAGATACACGAAAGTAACGGGTTCGTTTTTTATGTCGTTTTTATTCCAATTCAAAACAGAAACGATTTCTATGTCTTACTAATCAACATCCAAGATCGATTGCTTAAAATTCTCTCTATAGCATTCCCAGTCGATTCATTTTTGCATAATATATTAGAAATGAAATGAACTCAATTTTAGTATAGATCAAAAGATGCTTTAACAAACAAAACCTACAATGACAATAATGTACTGTAAAATCTATTAAGCTTTAATGGTTATATATTTGAAAAAGCTGAAATAATCATTACCAATATGTCTAAGAGCGAAAAAGGTAATTATAGTTATTTTAAATAATTTAAAAAATAGAAACATATGAGTTTCTAAAAGTATATGATGGGCTAAAAATATTTTTTTTATTTCTCAGGGGAATGGGATGTAATCTACAAAGCAATAAATTTAATGATCAGCAAATTATATCAAACTTTATTAGCAATCCTGTTTATGTATGAAATAATATTTAATGTATGGGCAACATGGTATTATATAGAAAAATTGGAGCCATGTTTATTTCTTCAGTATGCTCCTCACTATTTTACCGGTCTTGGTGTAAGTATATAATCCACAAACCAATTAACAGTATAAAAAAGATGTCATTTTAATTTCCAACAATTTGTTAATCTTGTTAATAACATTGTTAACTTGTCTTAATATTAATAAGAGCTCAAACTTTACCAGAATTTTTTTTCGTCATCGTGAACGATATTTTCACGGTAACTAAAATAAAAAAAATATATATTATTTTTTTTTGGCGCACCCTAAAGCTGCGTCCACATTGCTCGCGAGCAGGCCGAACGAACACGTGAAACACGAAAAACATGGCAAACAGTCGGAGCGAGATGTTTGCGGCGCTCGCGACGCTCGCGGTGCTCCACGTGCTTACGATCTCATAAAATGCCTGTTTCGACTGTTCGGCTCTGTCGCGGTACATCAAAAGAGACGCTTCGGAGCCATGCGAGCATAGTCGGTTCGAAGCGCTCGAGCTGTTTGCGTTGTTTGTTAAGTTTTTAGTTTGGTTTTATTCATAGGATTCGGTATTTACTGCAGTATGTTGATACTACCATAATTTATCTTATTTTATTTTGTTCAGAATTACAAATATTTGTGTTTTGTACGTGGATTAATAATATTAAATATACCTTTAATAAAATATAACTCTATATTTATATTGCCTACTTATCTTAATCTGATCTTTGAGAACTTTATTTATATTTTGGCATACGCTTTGTATTATTTTTGAAATACTTTACTTATTTTGAAACACCGCCTTTTTTCTTTTTGTCTCCTTCGTTTTGCAATAATGATCACCTAGCACCCGCTATTAAAAATACTTCGGTATCTCCATGTCCGAACAGCACTACATTACAATTTGGACACCGTTGCTTGCGAGCCGAAAGATCTTGAGAAACACGACAAACAGGAAGCGCAAGCAACGCAAGCACAATCAGAAGCAAGAGCGCGAACAGGATCACGAGCAATGTGGACGCACCTTAATAATGCATATTTTCTTTTCAGAGTATAATTCTTACATTTGTGACATATCAACTTGGCCATATTTATAAAGATAAAATGCAAGAAATAAAAAAGGCTTTCCAGTGGAATTTGGGTAAAAGGAACCTCGAAACAAAGCAGAAAATTTTAAACGAACAAGCACAAGTCTCACGTTTTTTCTTTTTATTTCTTTTTCTTAATCTTCTATCTGTCGGTCTACATCTCATGGGGTGGATGCCAGATAAGTCAGCTAATAACATTTTCTCTCTTATATTTGAAACATATTTTTCTCGATACGTTGACATAATATTAAATGCGATAATGGGTGCTTGTGTTTTTGCATTGATATTTCCAGCATCGC